AATAATAATGATGTGAAAACATAAAAAATAATTAAAAGAATAATTTTTTTAGTTTTGGAAAAAATCAAGTTTGGTGAAAGTGGAGTATGTTTATACATATTTATGCATATTCATGTGCATGAAAAATTTTTTATCATTTGTTCCTCTTCAACTCGATGATTTTCTCGTCTATCTCTGGTAAGGCTAACAACAAATCGTAATCTGCACTGCATTATGGTCATCTTTTGTCAGGTTAACAATAAATCGTAATCTGCATATCGACTTGGTACTGTTGATAGAAAGATACTAAGGAGAGAGGAAGGGAAAAAAGAAAGAGAGAGAGAGATAAAGAGAGGGAGGAGAAGGAGAGAGAGGGGGTGAGGGAGAGGGAGAGAAAGGGAGAGGGGGAGAGGGAGGGGGAGAGAGAAAGAGAGAGTAGTTTAAATTTATAATTTAAAAAAATTCTCCATTTCGAACGCCGAGCGGCAAGACAGGGACATGCTGTTGTCACATTTCAATTGTCTTCAGTGCAGACTAATGTTCGTGCACACAGATACGACACATTTATGCATGTGAGTACGCTCGTTTCAAAAGTTCCTCTCTTCAGAGAGTAAGTGACATTTGTAGGTTTTACGCGATTAACTTTCTAGCGCGATTGTAGCCAGAGAAATATTGTATTAAGCAGTTCGTCGATAAGAGAATCAGGATTCGGTCTGATGATTTTATACTACAGAGGATAAGATTATGCCTGTAGCATTAGCGCTTTTTTCTACGCTCTAGCGCAGCCTTAGCACGATCCAGAGATCCATTTTCGCTGAGACCTGAATTGCTGGAAAGATTTCTGCGAATAATAATATATAAATTATATTCATTTTTATCACATATCGTGACACATTCTAATGTATTAAATCAAGCACTGAGCATAAAAAGTACAAACTCTATTCGATGAAATCAGAAGACTACAAAAGATTGAATAGTTTGGATTCAAATAATGATAAGAACAAATCTGATACACACATAATTTATAAGAATTATTAATTTTATCTCTCGATTCATTATCCACATAGATTATAAGAAATTGACGACTAATTCGGTAAGAAATCTAAATCTTTCGTAATTATGATACTAATCTATTTTTTTATAATCACACTCGATATAATAAATATAAGCCGTAATTATAACTCACGGCATGATTTTACCTTAGAATATATGTCATTGTATAATACAACCATGTGCAAAAGTAATAAGCATTTACAATTTTCTCGCATTTTATGAAATGTTAAGTATTTCGACGAAAAGTAATCTAAGAGAGATTTTCGACCACATTTTAAGGTGTAAGTGGGGCCTTAAATGCGTTCGAATCTTTTGTCTCAATATTTTGTTCTTAAATTACATAAAATTGAAGAATTATATCTTTGCAATATTTTTGTCTTACTTTAAAGCGCTACAGTTTGCAATGAAACATCAGCAAACAAAATTTAATATGAAAGTGACTGAAAGTAATCTTTCAAAGCTTCAAAATGCCTTCTAAAAAATATTTATACGATAATTTTTCGCAAAAATATTGGTTTTTTTCTATTATGTGAACAGGGTGTTTCCGTAATCTACACATCAATAAAGTCGGGTCTGCACATAGACATAAATATTTAAAAATATAATCATAAATATTTATTAATTATGAAGCAAATATTTTTGTCTTGAAATGTCTATAATTTTTTGTCTTTGTTTTATAATTACAAATATTTATATTTGTATATATTTTTTTTTACACTAAATATGTATTAAATGTCATTTATGTTAGATTAAGTCAGATATTATTTGTATTAAATACATATTTTATATAATATTACTGAATTTTACACTATACCAGAATAAAATTCAATTTCTGAATACATAAATAATATATATGTTGACATAATAAATTTAAACGATGTTTAAGAGTATCAATTAAACATATATTTAAATATCATTTTTTTAAGTACGTAAAAATTATTAAGGGGGCATGTACCTTTCTCGGCTCGAAAAATAGTTCATTTTTTTTTCTTTCAAGAAAGAAAAGGCGCATTAGGATCGAGTTTTTTTTATGTTAAAGAACATATTTTAGATTTATAAATTAAATTTTATTAAGATAAAATAAGCCCCCCTTTATTCCTCTGCAGTTCCGAAGTTGGTCGTGTTTGACGGGACACGCGGTAGTATGAATCGGTCATTGGCCACTCATCTGAAATAAAAAATCCAAATAGCATCTTGAAGTTTATTAAATTTACTCGTATTTGATCCATACTTTTTTTAAATTTTGAATTTAAAACAAAATGACGGACGTTCCAACTCAAGGTATCATTTTTCACGTATTTCATTTCTTAAATGTGTAAAAAGAATACAAAAAATTAAGATATCAAAAAATTATAGATCAAATACTAGAGAATTTTATAAGCTTTCAGACAAAAAAAAAGAGAGGGAATTGGTTGAATAGTTATCGAGATATTTATGGTTATCGACTTTAAAACCGTGATTTCGAAAAACGCGTTTAAGTTTCGGAACAAGTTTACTATAATTAATGGGATATTTTGAAATTTATATTATGTAATTACCAATTACCATACAAGGAATCCTCTTGAGAAAGGTGCTGTCTTTTTGACTTTCATTTGCACTTCTCGGCCAATTTTACTCGGCTCCGCCTTCTGCTACTCTTCTCACCTCATCACCCCTGGCATAGTCCAAATTCCGTATCTCTCGACGCTTATAGGATCGCATAACGGTCGTCGACGTGAGGTCCATCCGTTTTAGGCTATGTGCCTAAAACGCTGTAAATTTCTATCTTTTTTTTCGTATAATCCAGATTTTGCATGATAACGGCTTCTTAACAATATCTGTAATAAAGCGTTTGATAAGAATAAATTTTTTGTTCTAAATTATAACGTTGCATGGTTATGATTTATTATATATATAATTGTCTATTACAAAAATGCTTATTAAGCCTTGCATTCATCGGCGCTAAAAATCACTCCGAGATCTCGAAATTTAAATTGTCGATTTATAAATTAGTTATCTCAAATGTAATATGTCATTGCTTCGCATTACGTTTGAAATAACTAATTTATCAGACAATAATTTAAAAAGAATGTACCACAAGGGAAATTGTGAACCGATTGCAATTATGTGGATAGAGGAACTTATAGAGTGTACATAATGATTACTGCAAAAGTCAGGGTGGATTTATTGAGCAAGTATGTTAAAGGATTTTTGTTAGATGTTATTTCAAATGAAGATTGCAGTGGAAAATAAGATCTATTACCATTTACAATTTATGTAACATACATATGTAACGTCAATTTTTAATTTTAATGATCTCGTTCAATATTTTCTTAATTCTTCCAAAGAGAACACGAATTTACCAACATTTAATATTTATGATGATCAAGTTATTCTGAAATTATCTAATATATGTAACCGATTTATATTGCGACCGGAGGCGTGACGAGCCACTGAGCAGGTACGCTCCAGAGTAGAACGTAAAATTTGGAGGGGAACAAAATTATAATAGCCAGCGTTACTCTTGTAAATATAAAGCTCTACCTTAATTGGTAAGGTAAGATTTTTAAATGAATTAGTTAACAGTGACTTTCTGGAAATCATTTCAAATTTAGTAATAGCGTTACAGATTTTATTAATTGCTTCAATGTCTGTGGCAACTACAAAGGCATCTTTTTTAAAATTGAAAATAATAAAGTATTATCTGAGAAATGACGCGAAACGTGGTTATGCGATTTAGCTATGATATCAATTGAAAAATAATTGGCGAGTTTAGTAGTTTTGATTATATAATCAGTTTTGATTGCGTAACTATTGAAATTACGTAAACATACTGATAACGTAATCAGAATATTTTCAAAAATCAAGCCAGAAAAAATAATAGTACAGTAGTATAATATAGTTCGTTGCGTCAAAATATTAATACAAAAACAAATGAAATTTATTGTATTCGTATCCCTGTGTTATGCAAATTGGTGTTATGGAAATTCCTTTTTTTTTAGTTCTTAGTTAATTGTCGTTAGTGGATCAGAGACTCAGTTGGTGATTCAGAGACTCAGAAAACCTTGTGATGGGAAGTAAAAGCAAATTCCAGCGTAGGACATCAAAAGCGGTCGTAACGCATCCGATTGCAACTCTTTTATATTTATTTTTATTGTTACTTTCAATTAGATTAATCATTATGTTTTACACCAAGGATCTGATGAAGAAGTTGACACATTTGTATGATTTAATGTTTATATCAACTGATAAATATTAAATATAGATTAGTCATTAGCACTTAAAATTAAAAGTAATAAAAAAGGTTCTGTACTTATAAACAAAAGGTAGTATAAAAGAAAGACAAGAAGTCAATAAGGTATAAAAGAATTATAATTTAAACAGCTTATGGTTTGACGAAAATACACAAACAAAACTATCCTCTGAGAATTATTGTCTCATCGTTAAATAGCCCATTATATAATTTGTCATTGATTTGCATAACATTATTACAGATTCTATATCAGAGATTTCTAGTTTCATAAAAAACAGGTTTGACTTGATTAATAAACTTAAGAATATTTAGCTGGAATTAGATTCTCTTTCGATTTCCTTGTGGTATCCCTATTTACTAATCCACCTATAGATTTGGCATCTGATAGTGTGGTTGTAAGGTGGGATGCTATGTCCAAGAAGACTAAAATTCCTTTGGACGAGTTTTTGATAGCCTTTCGTATGGTTCTGAATTCGACGATTTTTATTTTTAACAAAAAATATAAAAGCAGATATTTGGGACTCCCGTGAACCTTTGTCACCTGTTGTTGCAAATATTTTTATGCAGGACTTTGAAAAAATGGCTATTGGAATGCTGCCTTGTCTATTGCTATTTTACTATCGATACGTTGATATCTTGTGAGGATTGTGATGCCAGTTACGTTGGCCAAACTAAAAGACAATTAAAGACCAGATTGCATGAACATGTTTCTGATATCAATATAAGTTCAAAATCTCCATCAGTGATTTCCAATCATCGTATTGAGGAGAATCATAACTTTAAATGGGATAAAGTGGAAATATAAGATGTAGAGCCTTCATACAATAAAAGGTTGATATCTGAAATGGTCCATATTAAAAAACAGAAGCATGGGATTAATAGACGAAATGACATGGAGTCTTTGCCGGATTTGTATTCTGACATTATACATTCTCTTTCTCCTTTTTAACATCTTCTTTCCTTTTCCCCCTATTTTTTCGTTTTTCGTTCTCGATAATGTTTTTCTGCTTGACATTTCGTTTTTTGACATCGTGTAAGTCAGTTGCTCGTTACCTTTGTGAATTTGCTTATAATAATCTATTAAATTAAAAAGACTATTTTATTGTATGACGAAATGGACCACATTTTATATTTTTTTCTCGTTGTGTATTATTCTCTTAACAGATTTACTAAGGTATATTATTAATTTTTGTGATTAATATTAATTCTTTTTGTTTACGGTTACTTTTCCAGAATTTTCTTATGACTTTATTATTTCTTCATAAAAATGACTCGCAGTGTATTACACAGAAAGAAAAAATTTTATGTTAAGGAATTGTAAGAATATTGTAAAGATATTTATTTATTGTATAGTGAATTTAGAATGATATTTATATTATTGTAAGATTGCATTGAAAATGACTCGATTGGAGTTGAAACGTTTGTTTTATTTTCTTTTATTTTAATTGTTTTGTATTAGTTTTGCTTATTTAAATTAAAATCGTAAAAATTTTATTTTTGTATTCGTAGAATTCATTTTAAGTTGATTTGATATAGAAACATGCCACAAATATACGAATTATAAGTTTGTACCTCTTTAATTAGCTAAAAAGATCATTATTTTATTAGCATTCATAAAGTACAGTAGTTACACTAAAACACGAACAGTTAGTTTATGAAAAATAAGGGATTATCGCTTTAGAAGACTTGTGTCAGTATCAGTTTCTCTTCATTCTTTCTTCTACATTTAAAATTGGCATATTACAAAGTCATAAGATATTGGTTTATTATTGACAAAAATGTTTTTTATTAGATTGCTCTTTATTCAAGATGTTATGCTATCGAATGATGCAGTGCACATAAAGTGGAGGGGTTCCGCCAAGACGAAGAAGTCGCGGGGAGGATGTTTCGTTTTCCACTATAAATCCTCTAACTTCTTTATATAAACTAGTCTTGTCCCAGTCGTCGAATCTTGCTGATCAAAATAAATCTGCATTATACAAATCAATTGAGGAATATTCTCTAATAAAACTCTAAAACATTACACTAACATTTGCACGGACAAAGTTAATAAACAATGCATTTTTAATATATTCCTCATTGGGATAAACGTGTCTTCTTTATCTCGGCGAAGAACATAATTCTAGATCTGCGCATTAATGAAATTCTTTACATGACCAAAAAATTCTTTACACTTCATCCTATTGTATTTCTGAAATTGATCACTTCATGGTCGATATCGATATAGACCACAGTTTGCATTAACGGGAAAGTAAAAGTGATTCTTATTTTTGGATTCAAAGTATGCATTATGTCACGTTTATTTCGTATATCTGCCATTTCGCCACTTTATTCTGCGTTTCTGCACAATTTCGCAGTTGTAACGACAACAACATTTATGACCCGCCTACGCCATCGCCTCGAGAGCTAGTCTTCTCGATTCGGCAACATGTGCAACGGAATTACGAGCTTTCCTAGACGCTGTCGATCAACGGATACTGTGGGGTTTAAAAAGTAAGTACAATTCGTTCTTAATCATGATTAATTTTTGATACCTATCGGATCGATAAAGTAAATACAAAATCAAGAAAGTCAATCACATGAACAATCTCGCATTTACTTCATGTTGAGTTGTTTCATTGTACCATTAGAGAATTAATTAAACTCCGAAACTAAATCGATTTATTGTATAATTTTACCTTTGTTTATAAAATAAATAAATCAAAAGATTGTCAGTAATCATATCCCCAAATAACACATGAACGTCCATTGTACATTCACTGGACTTCCGATTCTGGACATTTTCTGTCCATAGGATGTACATTTGTAACAACTTTGTACGTCTATAGAATATCCAAAACATATTTAATTTCGAACCTATTATAGATGTGTTATTGATTTTGGATATCTTTTGTTTTTGAAAAGCTTGTTGCAATATTAATTACTGTATGATAATAAGTGTTTGTTGGAATATGCTATCATCCAATATATCCTCTGACAATATCTTATTAATTTTCTCCGCTTTCATCAAATGTGAGTTGGCCCAGTATTGCAGTAAGAGTCCAGATAGCCAAGAGTGATATAGCATATTGTGCAAACTAATGCATTGCATATGTTATTACATATGTGTATTTTAATAGAAACACATTGTAAAAGTAAAATCTAAATATGAACGTCTATTAAATGTTTTGAATAACCCGGTAAAGAGTTTGTTATGAATATGTATAAATACATATAAAGAAAAATATTTATAAACACATATAATCGTATACGAATTATGTCCATATATATTCATATATTCCTCTTTCTTCTATAAAATTACTTTTTAATGAAATAGAAATAATAATAGTAATGTGAAGACATAAAAAATAATTGAAGTAACAATTATCGCATTGTTTGTTTTTAAAAAAAACAAGTTAGAAAAAATTTAAAATGATTGCTCATACATAATTATGCATCACTTTACATAATTATACATGTTTATAAATATTTATAATGTACAAATAGA